AGAAGCAGCATTCTTCTCTGAGAGCGGCGCATAAGCCACCTTCTTGTAGGAACAAGATGTCTAGTCCTCTTCTATTCTGTAGAACTACTTCTGATAGTGAGGTTAAAGATTTTTCTAGGGCACTGACTGCTTCTTCTAAGGCTTTAATATCGGTGTGCATGGCCTTTTGAAGGTGTCTAAATTGTTGAGTTGCTGCGAGGGCTGTTGCTCCAGTCCCGATCCCAGCGGTGATTCCCCCTGCTGTGAGCCCCCCTAAGAGAATGGCTAAGGTTAGGGAAACGGGCTCTCTTTTCATTCGTGGGCGCTGTTCAAAGTGATGATAAATATATTCTGGGTCATGATAGCCGATTTTGGGCCATAACTCAACTAGTACGCAAAAATCTGAGGTTACATTGAGGATTGAAGAGGATACGCAAGGGGTGAGTCCGGTGCTGCATGCCCAATAATTGTCATTTAGTGGGACTAGATAGTATTTGCCTGGGGGCAGATTTAGGGTGGTGTTGCAGAGGGGTTTGTGTGAGGGGGGGATTGTCCCAAGGCATAGCCCCGCCCCTGAGACTTCAGACAAAGTTAATTTGTGCTGGGGTATGTTAGAGCACTGAGTGGGTGGGCTGGTGTGGTTGGAGTAGTTTCCAGATATGGCTATTCCTTCATAGTAAGGGGGACTGGATTGAAGGCAAAGCCAGCATTCTTTGGTTTTGTTAGGGTAAGTTAGGTTTAGGGCTAGGTACGCTCCCTGTACTAGATCGAATAGTCTGTTCCCGGAGCCTGGTATTTGGGGGGGGGGGCTAGTAAGATTTAGGTTTCTGGTGGAATTCGACACTGGTGGTGCTGGGGTAGCTTGGCGGGCTGGGGGCTGCTGGTCTTTGAGGGCTTTATTGGGCCCTACTGATTGGGACGGCGCGCTTGGGGTGAACTTGTAGCTGAGGGTAATTATTGCTCCTAAGTCGGGGCCAGTGGGGTCGTAATGCCGGATTCCCCACGATCCCGCCACCGCAGGGGGAATGTCACTGCACTCAGTGAAGGTTAGTTTTATGTAAGGGCCGTGCGGATAAGGCTCTGAGTCCCAGTAGGTTATCAGTAGGGGGTCTCTACCCCTGGGGGTATTCCATTTGGCAGCTAGGGACCCCCAGGAGGAGGTTTCGCAGCCCCAAGAGTCACAATAATACTGGGCTGCAGTGCTGCGTGAGCAGCGTTGGTAGGCGGGTTTTCCAGGACATGCATACCAGTCGGCTGCGACACCTCGGACGGGATTTCCTACTGCCTGGAATAAGGTTCTTAGGTCAACTTTCATTTCACTGGGGCATCCTATATTGTTGTGCCCTGTTTTGGAGGAGGCGCTGAGGGTGACATCTGTCCCTGCTACGGTAAGGGTCCAATTACTGGTTCCTACGATATGGGGAGAGGGGGAGGGGGCGATCGGTTCTGGCATTAGTGATAACAGCAGATAGGTCACGAACGCAAGAGTCTTATCTTTAGAGGGTTTTGAGATCGCTGGGCTTTCCATGTTGAGGTGGGTGTGGTTGCGTCGGGCTGAGCTGCTTTCACGTGGGAGGCGTGGATCCAGGCTGCGACACCGTCAACTTTGAGTGCCGTCGGGGTGGTCAGCAACACAGTGTACGGTCCTTTCCAGCGAGGTTCTAGGTTTCTGGTCTGATGTCTGCGGACCCAAACTGTGTCGCCGATCTGGTAGTTATGGGGAACTACAGGTTTGTCTAATTGTTCTCTGTAGGCGGCTGCAAGCGGTTTCCAGACTTCTTTCTGCACGATTTGGAGTGCCTGCAAGTGAGCTTGTAGAGAGGGTTTGTTAGCAAAGCTTGAAATGTTGGGGTCACTAAGATTGACAATGGGCGGGGGTGCGCCATATAATATTTCAAAGGGAGTGAGCCCGTGAGGTCCTGGGGTATTACGGGCTCGGTAGAGAGCTAGGGGTAGTAGGAGTACCCAATCTCTAGTGCCAGTTGCCAGCGTTAATTTGGTTAAAGTCTCCTTTATGGTTCTATTCATTCGCTCTACCTGTCCTGAACTTTGGGGTCTGTAGGCACAATGTAATTTCCAATTAATCCCCAATAGCCTGGCCACCAGCTGACTTACCTGGGAGACGAAGGCAGGCCCATTATCGGTCCCCAGCACTTGGGGCATACCATATCTGGGGAAGATTTCTTCTAACAATTTTTTTGTCACTGTTTTAGCTGTTTCTTGCTTGGTTGGGAAGGCTTCTACCCATCCGGAAAAGGTGTCAACAAACACTAGCAGATACTTGTACCCGTATTGTCCAGGTTTAATTTCAGTGAAGTCAACTTCCCAATGAGCTCCTGGTCGGTTTCCTCTCATTCGGGCTCCTGCCCCGAACTTGGTTTGTCCGGCATTGACCTGGGCACAGGCTTTACAAGCGTCTACTACTTGCTGTATGATCTTGTCTCGCCTTAGCAAGTAGTGAATGCTCTCTTCTCTGTCTAAGAGGGCTTTCATTTTCTTAGGACTGAGGTGGGTGAATTTATGTAGGTAAGTTATAAATTCACGAGTCTGTTTCATGGGTGCTACTACCTTGCCTTTGAAAACCCAACACTGTCTGTTGGGGTCATGTGAAGCTCCTATGGTTTTTAATAAGTCAGTGTCTTCTCGGGTGTACTGAACGGGATGGGAAGGCTGAGTGAGGTCCGGCGTGAGGGTGAGGGCCTGGGAGTTACTCACGGGTGTGCGCATGGCTGCCTCTCGGGCTGCTTTGTCGGCCATCCGGTTTCCTCTTGCTTCGGGGTTCTCTCCTTTTTGGTGCCCGGGACAGTGGATTATGCTGAGCTTTTTAGGCAGGAACAAGGCTTGCAGCAAGTTTAGGATTTCAGCTTTATTTTTAATGTCTTTCCCTTCGGAGGTCAGGAGCCCTCTGCGCCTGTAAATTTCTCCATGGACATGGGCGGTGGCGAAGGCATAACGGCTATCGGTGTAAACATTGAGGTTTTTACCTTCTGCCAGCTGGAGCGCTTTGGTGAGCGCGACGAGCTCTGCTCGTTGGGCGGAGGTTCCTGCTGGAAGGGTCTCAGTCCAAACTACTTCTGTTTCTGTGGTGACTGCGGCCCCTGCTTTCCTCTGGCCGTCTTGCAGGAAGCTGCTTCCGTCCGTGTACCAGGTGAAGTCAGCATTTTGAAGAGGGTGATCAGTCAGGTCTGGTCTGGTCCCGTGCATCTCAGCAAGAATCTCAAGGCAGTCATGCTGTTCACTTGCCTTCTCGGGTAAGGGGAGAAGGGTGGCAGGGTTTAAGATTGTGATGGGCCCAAAACGGATGCGGTCTACATCTAGGAGCATAGCTTGATAGTGGGTCATGCGTGCATTTGAGAGCCATCGAGCAGGGGGCTGTTTGACTAAGGCTTCTACTGCGTGGGGGGCTAAGATGGTGAGAGATTGCCCTAAGGTTAATTTTCCGGCATCTCTGGCTAAGACCGCTATTGCGGCCACCATTCGGAGGCATGGGGGCCATCCGGAGGCCACTGGGTCTAGTTTCTTAGATAGGTAGGCTACAGGGCGCCGCCAGGGGCCTAGCTTCTGTGTCAGGACTCCCTTGGCATACCCTTGCTTCTCATCTACATACAGTTCAAATGGTTTAGCCAGATCTGGGAGTCCTAAGGCGGGGGCAGAGAGTAGGGCTTGTTTGATGTCTTGGTAGGCTTTTTGCTGGTCTTTGCCCCAGGTGAACAGGGTGTTTTCCTTTGTAAGGGGATATAAGGGGGCTGCCATCTCAGCAAACCCTGGAACCCACAACCGACAAAATCCCGCAGTTCCTAGGAACTCTCTTAGCTGGCGAGGGGTTTTGGGCACTGGTATGCTCATGACTGTTTCTTTCCGAGCTCTGGTCAGCCACCTTTGCCCATCTTTGATTAGATAGCCGAGGTAGGTAACTTGTTCTTGGCAGATTTGGGCTTTTTTTGCGGAGGCCCGATAACCAAGACTACCTAAGGCTAGCAAAAGGGCTTTTGTGCCTTCCTCGCATTCTTGCCGGGAGTGGGCGGCTAGTAAGAGGTCATCTACATATTGAAGCAATATCAACGCTGGATGGTGGATCCGAAAATCTGCTAAGTCTCTGTGTAATGCCTCGTCAAACAGGGTTGGGCTGTTTTTAAACCCTTGAGGGAGCCGAGTCCAGGTTAACTGTCCTGAGATGCCTAGGTCTGGATCTTTCCACTGGAAGGCAAATAGGGGCTGACTCTCAGGGTGAAGTCTGAGACAGAAGAAAGCATCCTTTAGATCTATCACTGTATACCAGCGGTGAGACGGAGGGAGCCCGCTGAGCAGACTATAGGGGTTGGGCACGGTAGGGTGAATGTCTTCTGCCCGTTTGTTAACTTCCCTCAAATCCTGAACAGGTCGGTAGTCTCCCGTACCGGGCTTCTTTATGGGTAATAACGGGGTATTCCAGGGAGAGCGGCAGGGGATTAGTATCCCCTGATCTAGAAGCCTTTTGAGGTGGGGCTTTATCCCTTCTATGGCCGCTAGTGACATGGGGTACTGCTTGATGGAGATCGGGGTGGCAGCAGCTTTTAGCGGGATGAGTATGGGGGCCTGTTGTGTGGCTAATCCCATACCTCCAGTCTCTGCCCATGCCTGAGGGAACTCAGCCAGCCAGGCGGCGGGGTCAGATGTTGGGCTGGGCTCTTCAGTTGGCTCGTGGAGCCGGTATTCATTTTCTAAGCTGAGAGTTAGCACGTGCAGGGGTTGCCCTTGCGGTCCTGTGATCCGCACTCCGGAGTTTTCAAAGTATATTTGAGCTTTTAGTTTGGTTAATAAGTCTCTCCCTAGCAACGGATACGGGCAGTCCGGAACATGGAGGAAAGAGTGGGTGACCTTACCGGTAGCCAGTTGAACTTTGCGGTCGGTTGTCCATCGGTATCGCTTTCCTCCGGTGGCTCCTTGGACCCAAGCGGATCGATCGCTCAAGGGTCCGAGGTTGTGGGTCAGCACAGAATGCTGAGCTCCGGTATCTACTAGGAAGGTGACTGGCTGCCCCCCGACGTTAAAGGTTACCCTGGGTTCAGGGGGAGGCTCCTGACCCGGGCCTCCCTAGTCGTCTAATGTCAGGAGGGGGGTCTGGGGCTTCGGCTTCCGGGGCCCCTTGGGTCTTTTGGGACAATCTTTAACCCAATGTCCTTTTTCTTTACAGTACGCGCATTGGTCTTTCTCTACTCGGGGTCCGGGCCTCCTTGGGTCTCCCCCCTGTCTGTCCTGTGCCTGTCCTGACACTACGGTGGTCAGGAGTTTGCTCATTTCTCTATGCCTTCTCTTGTCTCTTTCTCTCTCTCTCTCTTCGGCTTCTTTTCTTAGCCGATTATCTCTTTCTTCTGCCTCTCTCCTAAACCGATCTTCTCTCTCTTCTGGGGTTTCTCTTTTATTAAAGATTTTCTCTGCCTCTTTCAGTAAGTCTGCAAGCTTACTTTCCCTTAAGTCTTCTAAGCGCTCGAGCTTGCGTCTAATATCAGGAGCAGATTGCCAGATAAAAGACATGGACACACTAGTTTCTTGCCCTGGATCTTCAGGGTCATAGGGGGTATACCTGCGATAAGCTTCTTTGAGCCGCTCTAGGAAGGCAGAGGGAGCTTCTCCTGATTCTTGCAAGACTTGCTTTACTTTAGCTAGATTAGTGGGGCGTCGGCCAGCCCCTTGGAGACCCGCTATAAGCAACTGGCGATAGAGAGTTAGGTGATTCCTACCTTCTTGCGTGGTGTAATCCCAGGTGGGTCGGTCAAGGGGAAAGGCTGAGTCGACCTCGTTTGGTAATTGGGTGAGACGCCCATCTGGCCCTCGGACTGCTTTCCGAGCCTCTAGGAGGACTCTTTGCCTCTCGTCCGAGGTCAACAAGGCCTGGAGTAACTGCTGGCAGTCGTCCCAGGTCGGCTGATGGGTAACTAGGACGGACTCAATCAGGGCAGTGAGTCTGATTGGGTCGTCGGAAAAGGAAGGGTTATTATTTTTCCAATTATAGAGGTCGGAGGACGAGAACGGCCAATATTGGAGCTGACCGGTTCCTCCTACTCGGAGCGGGAGGGTCTGTGAGACCGTAGAGTCTGCCGTCAGCGGCTGGTCTCCTCGGCCCCCTAGACGGGCTGCCATGGGGGACCGCCGCCCCCGCAATCGGCCCGCCATGGGGGATGGTGCTGCTGGCGCTGCCTCGGCTGGTCTCTCATCGGTTGAGTCAGCCACCGGGGGCGGGGGATTTGGCTCGGGGTATGGGGGGGGTTCTTCACTGAGGAGGTCTACTAATAGGTTTTCTTCCGGGGGCAGGACCTGTGAAGAAAGTTTCGGTTTTCGAGGATCGGTTTGGGCTGGGAATAAGGAGGAGCGGGACGGAGGCCTCGCTGGGGTTGGGAGGAGGGGGGGGGAAAGTGGCGGAGCGGACGGGGGAAGAGGGGGTTTAGGTAGGATGAAGGGTCTGACCCAAGGCAGAGGGTCTGAGACTAGTGCTTCCCAAGTGATGACGTACGCGACCTGATCCGGGTGCCCGGAAGGGCCGGGGTTCATCACTTTGGCTTTCACCTGTAAGATAATTTTTTGGTCAAATGTACCGTCTCTGGGCCAGCCTACGCTAAACGTAGGCCATTCGGATGAACAGAGAGTAGCCCATCTTTTTCTTCGAATGTCCACTGACAGGTTGTTTGCGGTATTTTGGACATCTCGCCAATTCTGTAAGGTTAAAGTCAGGGGGGTGGTTATGGATTGACCCATACTCTTGGTTTACAAAAATAGGAATGGAAACAATGAAACTTAGACAAGGGGTTAGGAGACAATATAATAACACTGAAATATCGCAGCGCGGGCGAGGTGCCAAAGAGAAAGTAAGGTTTGAGAGTCCGGAACTTTCTCGCTCTAAGAAAAATTCGGATCTGTCAGACTAGGACAAAACCTATCGGTCTGACACAGACTGTGTCTTAGACACTGGCTGATTGGGCCCCGGATCGGACCCCAGATGCCCTTGGGACGTCTCCCAGGGCTGCGGCCGGGAGTACGAGCTCGTCAGCTCCTCCACGGAACCGCCAGATACAGATACCTGGTCAGCTGACAACCTACAGAGACTAAGAGGCGAGCGCGAACACGAAAACGAGGCGGAGACAACTAAACACACGACACAGATGCTGGCCAGCTTACCTCCCGGTGAGGGGTCGGTGGTCCCTGGGTAGGAGTCTCGATCCCGGACGAGCCCCCAAATGAAAGACCTCACTTAGTGTGGTGTCTTTATCTGAGGAGACCCTCCCAAGGATCAGCGAGCTCACGTTCCGGTTGCAATCAGCAAGAGGGATTTTTATTCAGTCACACAGGTACCTGGGACGGCGGAGTCTCGAGGAAGACTCCCCCCAGCTAGGAAGCAGGGAGTTTTTATAGGGTAGCTAAAAGCGCGGGTACAGAAGCGAGAAGCATGGTTACAGGGGTTTCATTGGATGGTTTAAACAATACAGGGTTTGAGCTCAGAGGGGACTTTCCGAGAACTCGGGAGGGCGGTAAGGGTCTGTTTATCTAGGATGTAGCTGGTTTCTGTTCCTGGAAACGGGTCCAGGTGCTTAACCGCCGATATCCTGTTTGGCCCTCTTCCCGGGGTAGGGCCTGGCCTGGTGTTGAGAATATCTTGTCCTTGCTAGCTGGGGGACGAAATGGCGTTACTGCGAGTGTGGGTGTGAGGGATCTCTCAGGGGGTCTTTCAGAAGAACTCAGTGATACTGGCCTGCGGATAATTAGATCAGTGTCATCACTTTCACTGTCCCCCTTTTTATTCTGCTGGTACCATTTGCATGAAAACAAAAGTGGGTGATATTCCTTTCCAATTAGCAAGCCTTTATTTCTTACTGGGCTATAACTTGGGGAAGTTATCACATACAGAGGCTTTGGGAAAAAAGTCCTAGGTCAATATGTGAGAGCCTGCTTTAAACAGGTTAACACAAGCCAAATGTTCAGCTCTAAGCCATCTACTTCCCAAACTGTCCCTTCAAAGACTTTCCCTCGTGATAGAGAAGATCTTCATCTGGGTTAATTAAGATGCAGCTTGTCCAAGAGAAAGTTTCAGGAAACCCACAACCTGTAGGGAAGTTGGTTCTGATGTTTATAAACGTACGGTTTTGTAGGTCTTTCCTTAGCTTAGGGCTCACCAAAGAGCTAGACCTAATAAAACCTCGGTTTGCAACAATAAAGTTAGGAAGATTCATATATTTGTCATTAAGTTGCTGTAAAGCAATGCAGGTGTAATAGAAAGAAGATGAGTTTGGTGTCAACCAGAACCAGATTTCAATATTAGCTCTACTGTGTACTAGTGATGTGATCCCAATGACTCTGTTTTCTCATCCATAAAATGGGGATAACAAATCAACTTTGCTACTACCATCTCATAGATAAAGATGTGAATGTATAGAAAAGGCCTAGCAAAGTAAGAGGCATTGTTAATTGCTTATTAAATATTAATTCCATTCCTTTTTCATCTTCCCTTCCTCATATTCCGTAGTATTTGATAATGGTATTGTTTCTGCACCAGTCTTCCCAGATCAGTGGTTTTACAATGAAGTGCTTTTAGCACAAGTGAAATCTGTGAGATAAAGTAGTTTGTTTCTGATACATAGATAAAACCCTGGTTTTGTTTTCTGCCTCTTAAATGTAAGAAATCTGCCTCCAAAAAATGCTCCCACCTTGAACATTTCACAGGCAACTTCATTTGATGATGACTCTGGTAGGAGAAGGAAATTGTTTAAAAAGAAACTTTTCCTTAGTCATTTATGAAGCTAGCTTTATTCTTCAGTCAGGATAGATATTTGACACTTTAGTTTATGTTTTGTTCTGTTCTGTGTTTCCTCCAGACTTGCCGCATTTTCTTTCCCCTTTCAAACGGGCAGACTCTCTCTGTGTTGCCTTGCCACAGGATTGTGCTAAGACAGAGAGTAGGTGCCCTCCACATCTTCCTTTTCTGGTTCCTCTTTCCCAAAGTCTGAGCTTTCTGAGGGAATCTTGCTGTGTGTCCTGAGAGGTAGGGATGACAGAGAGAACCTTTTGAGAGGCAGCAAGGTAAAAAAGAGAGGTTCTAGGAAACTGGAAAGGGGTAAAGATGTGTGGGTCCCCAAGCAATGACTCTCTGATCCTTGGTAATCTCTCCCCCAATCCTTGTGGGGGACAGCTGTAAAACCTTCATGGAGTTCCTAGCCTTGCCCAGTTTCCCAGGCTATAATTAACTTAAAAAGTGAGAGCTAACTCTTATATACAGTGTTAGGTACTATCGAAAATTTTACATACTGTAATTCATTTATTTCTCACATAAACTCTATCGGTTACGTTTATCATTGTCCTCATTTTCAGATGAGGAAACTGAGGCTCAGATAGCTTGGAAGGGGTGGAGAAAGGATTTAAACCTGGGGAATCTGTCTCTTGAGTCCATTGTTCTAACCACCTTTTCTGTACTTCTGGAAAAAGCAGAGGCTCTGGCCTGAATGGGCCTGCAGATTATGTGAGACTGTCTCAGTGAGAATGACCTATGACTGATGACTGGACAGCTCATCCAAAGCCTTGATGCTGCATAAGACATTATAAGAACTTTGCAATACCTGGGGAAGGGGTAACCCCAAGGATGACTGAGCTTAAATTTTTTGTCCATAGAGCTGGATGAAGGCATGGCATTGAAGTTAAAATGATTTAAAAAGAATTGTGGGGGTTTTGTACACTGAGATTTTTTTAATAGAAGTATCATTGATATGCAATCTTATGAGGTTTCACATGAACAATATTGTGTTTTCAACATTCACCCATATTATCAAGTCCTCACTAGCCCCCCCTTACAGTCACTATCAGCAGAGTAAGATGCTATAGAGCCATTACTTATCTTCTCCATGCTGTACTGCCTTCCCCATGACTTGCCTTTATTGTGATTGTGATTGTGAATTATATACACTGTGATTTTTATCTGCTGAACTATGATACCAAAATCTGGCAAAGGGAGTATAAAATAGTATTTGAATAAACTTACTTAAAATATTAACATCAATAAAATCTTTCAGCCATATCAAATGCTCAATAAGTGCCATGAGACATATCTTACTTAATTCTTGTCTGGAAGGCATTGAGATATTAGAGATATTAAATAACTAGCTAAAGCTCAGAGAGCCATTAAGTTGTGGAGTCAGGATTTAGATCCAGGACGATCTGATTTAAAAGCCATTGTTCTTTTCCAATATGAAGCTCTCTACTATATCCACAATGCTGCCACTAGATAGAAACATCCTTAATAAAAAAAACTGGGTTTAATTTATGACCATATTACAAAATGAATTGTACATGTAGTTTAACTGCAGAAATACTAGGAGAATTCAATATTAAGAAATATACTACGACTATTACTACTACCACTGCTAATACTAATGCAATATGCTGTAATAATAATGTGATGTAATGCAATGTAAATGTAATATATTTTCACTACAAATCATCTTGATAAAAGTTAAGACATCATTTAAAAGTAATTATACACCATCACCAAATGGAATTTATTCCAGTATGCAAGGCTGGTTCAACATTCAGAAATCAATTAATGTAATTCATCATATCAACAGACTAAATAAGAAAAATCATATCACAGTAATAGATGCAGAAAAATTTTTTGACAAAGTCTAACACCCATTCATGATAAAGACTCTCAGCAAAATAGTAAAAGAGAGGAACTTCGTTACAAAACCAGAGAAAGATGTTTTCTTTCACCACTCCTCTTCCACTTTATACCAGAAGTCCTAGTTAATGCAATAAGGCAAGAAAGAAAATAAAAGGTATACAGATTGAGAAGGAAGAAATAAAAGTATCTTTGTTTGAGATGATATGATTCTCTATTAAGAAAATCTTAAAGAATCCACAAAAATACTCCCCTAACTAATAAGTGATTATAGCAAGGTTTCAGGTTAAAATACAAAATCAATTGCTTTCCTATATGACCTCAATGAACAATTGGAATTTGGAATTAAAACATAGCACTATTTACATTAGCACCAAAATATTGAAATACTTAGTTATAAACCTAACAAAATATGTACAAAATCTATATAAAGAAAACTATAAAACTCTGACAAAAGAAACCAAAGAAGGTCTAAGTGGAAAGATATTCATATGTAGGAAGACCTAATATTAAGATGTCAATTCTTTCCAACTTTATCTATAGATCTGATGTAATCCCAACCAAAATCCCAGCAAGTTATTTTGTGGATATTGATAAACTGATGCCAAAGTTTATATGGACAGGTAAGGGAAACAGAATAGCCAACACAATATTCAAAAGGATGAAGTCAGAGTGTTGACACTATCTAACTTTAAGATTTATGATAAAGCCATAGTAATCAAGACATTCACAGAATGATAGACAAATAGGTCAGTGGAACAGAATAGAGAGCCTAGAAATAGATACATGCAAATGTAGTTGACTGGTCTTTGATAAAGGAGCAAATGCAATTGAGTGGGGAAAGGATAGTCTTTTCCACAAATGGTCCTGGAACAACTGGACATCCACATACAAAACATGAATCTAGAGACAGACCTTACGCCCTTCAGAAAAATTAATACAAAACAGATGATAGACCTAAGCATGATACACAAAACCATACAATTTCTAGAAGGAAAGGTAGGAGAAAATCTAGATGATCTTGGGTTTGGTGATGACTATTTAGATACAACACCAAAAGCATGATCTATGAAAGAAAATACTGATAATTTGTACTTCATTAAAATTAAGAACTGCCTGTGAAAGGCACTGTTAAGAGAATCAAAAGGCAAGCCATAGACTTGTGGGTAAAATATTTGCAAAACACATATATAATAAAGGACTTGTATCCGAAATAAGCAGAAAATTTCTTATAACTCAACAATAAGAAAACAAACTACCCAATTAAAAATGGACAAAATATCTGGATAGATACATCTCCAAAGAAGATATACAGATGGCAAGTGAGCATATGAAAAGATGTTTAGTATCAAATGTTATTAAGTTATTATAATTACCAACTATAGCCTTGGAACCAGCTAGAGAAATGAGAATTGAGGTAGTTATGCATAATTTCTTGCTTTGTCATGTGTGTATTTGTGTCTATTAACAAATTTCTTTTATTCTACCCTTCTTTTCTTTTACTATTTTATAAAAGGTATATTGGTGATGCTTAAGTTTGTATTGTTCCTTACATTATAGAATGGGATTGTGGCTGAACTAGAAGAGAAGAAAAATCACCAAGATATGGATACTGTGATTGATGAAGCTTTGGACATAAGTTCTTTTTGCAGGCTGAGTGTAAGTGCATTTTCATTTATATGAGGAATAACTACATTATAAGAGAGCATGTAGTGGTTGCTAATTTGTTGATTGGAAGTTTAAATATGGTAGAAACTTGTGTATCAATGTTATGTTGGCAGAGGGGTAGGATGTAGTAGGCACTGCCTATTGGCATTTAGCAGTTGTTCCTACCTCTCCTAGTTTCTCAACCTCTCCCTGTATTACAGGTCTTGGAAAGGTGAGACTTCATTTCCCAGACTGACTTGTAACTAGGATTCTGAAACTAATTTAGGCTTTCCTAATGACATATATTTGTATTAGATTTGGAATATGAAAGAAAAGCAGAGGCCGTTTTTACTGGGGTAGTGACAGCTGATGTATGGGTCCCAGAAGGCAAGAATTTTTGCAGGGGCCAGATTCTTCATTCTATTATTTAACCAACACCTTTGTGAATGTGGCAGTTACGACAGCTACAGTGGTTTTCTACAGTTTTCTGACCTCCATGTAGCACAATAGTTTCCTGACTTTGAAACCTAGTGTTAATGTGACCTTGACACCTAGTACTGGCTCCTTGAGGGCCATTCCTCATATCCTTTTAATGAGTTTTTTAAACATTTATCTCATAGTACACTGAAATCAGTAGAGTAAAAAAATCACTGAGCTTGAGGATAAGTCAACAGATATTATCTATGGTGAAATACCAAGAAAGGAATGAAAAAAAAATAAAACTAAGTTAAACAAGGCATCCAAAGATAAAAATAAGTCTAACACAAATGTAATTAGAATCCAAGAGGGAAAGAGAGAGAAAGAAATCAGGCAGAAGTAATATTTGAAGAGGTAATGGCTGAGAAATTTCCACCTCCAGTTTCTGTTCATCAAATAAACTACCTTCAACTCTCATAGTTGTTTCTCCATGGATGTTATCTTAAAAATATTTTTATTTTGCAGTCATAGATATTTTTAACAGATTTATTAAGATATAATTCACATACCATAAAATTCATCCATTTAAAGTTTGTCAATGACATTTAGTAGATTCACAGAATGTGTATCCATCACCACAATCAATTTTGAACCTTTTCATTACTCCAAAAAGAAACCCTACAGGCCTTAGCCCTCACCCCTTGTATTGGTCAGGGTTCTCCATAGAAGCAGAATCAATGGGATGTGTGTGTGTGTATGTGTGTGTGTGTGTGTATTTTAAGGAATTGGTTCACATAGTTGTGAGGGCTCACAAGTCTGAAGTTTGCTAGGATGAGCAGAAGGTTGAAAATTCCAGCAGGAGTTGATATTGCAGTTTTGAGTTAAAAGGCAGTCTGGAGGTTGGACTCCATCCTCTTAAGTGACCTTGGTCTTTTCTTTTAAGGACTTAAGCTGATTGGATGAGGCCCATTACATTGCAGAGGGTAATCTGCTTTACTCAAAGTCTGCTGACTTAGATATTAAAGACTAAATATTAAAAAATACTTCCACAGCAACATCTAGACTGGTGTTTCACTAAGCAACTGGGTACTATAACCTAACCAAACTGACATGCAATATTAACCATTACCATCCCCTTCTTGTCAACTTGGTACCCAGAATTATCTCCTTAAACCATATTAATCTCCAAATGAAAACACTAGCAAGATCATACTTCAACCTCACATGATACAACTATCCTGTGTACAATTGAAGTGCACTGACCCTACCCTATCGGAGGATGCGAAGTCCTTGTATGACTGACATTCACTTTTCTTCTTGATATGCTGTAACTTAAATACTATGATATAAAGTTAACCATATTTAAATACTATGATACAAAATTAAAAGATCTTATGTTATATGATACTGGGCTAAGAGAGGGAAGAAAACAAAGATATTTGCTATGTATATTTATGAATATTCATGGTATATAAGAAATGTACATATGATATATATGAAATGTACATATGATATATATGAAATGTACTTATATCCATAACAAAATAAGGAAGAAATACTCATAAAAATTACAGTTGTTATTTCTGTAACTGGTCATGTGGTCATAACTGGTACTTATAACTAACTTCCACTACCCACTCTAGATTCTCTTTACCTTCAGCAAGCACCTCAGCTAGTTGTGGTTTTTTACCTGGTGGGGTGAGCTAAACCTTCATACCCCAGAGGTCTGGGCCATTACAAGTCCTGCCTGAATTAGGTTGTTTTAGTTTTCCATTGACTTTATTCATAAGGCACAATAGCCATAAGAGATGCCCTAAGGGATCTCCTGTATTCCAGATATACACTTCCTTATTCCCACAGTTACCAATTTCCCTTTGGTAATAGAATAAATCTGCCTGGTCAGTACAGTAACTCCCTTCTTTGCCCATTGGTTTACAGGCAAGAGGAGCCCATGGTCAGGTGGCTGTCGTAATTTCCAGTTCATTAGAATTATTGTTATGCTGCCCAGTAGAAGCATTCCTCCTTTGGAACTAAGATCTCTAGACCAATAGATCACATTTTGTGTTGATACCCTTGTTGAAAAATCAATTGACAATAATGTATGACTTTATTTCTGGACTTTCAAATATATTCCATTGATCTACATGTGTCTCCTTATTTCAGTACCATACTGTTTTGATTACTGTAACTCTGTGGTAAGTTTTTGAATTGAGAAGTATTAAGTCCTGCTACTTTCTTGTTCTTTTTCAAGATTGTTTTGTATTTCTAGATTGCTTGAAATTCTATACAAATTTTAGGATCAGCTTGTCAATGTCTGCAAAGAAGCTAGCTGAAATTTTGATAGCTGTGGCATTGAATCTGTAGAGTAATTTGAGTAGAATCGCCATCTTAACAGTACTGTCTTCTAAGCCCTGAACACGGAATACCTTCCATTGAGTTAGGTCTTTTTAAATTTCTTTCAACAGTGTTTTATATTTCTAAGTACTCTATCCTTTTTGATGTTATTGTAAATAGAACTGTTTTCTTAATGTCACTTTTGAATTGTTCATTGCCAGTGTATAGAAAAATACAACTGACACTCTATTTTGATCTTGTATCATGTAATCTTGCTGAACTTGTTTGTTAGCTCTAATAGTTTCTTTGTGAGTTTATTAGGATTTTTTATATATAGGATCATATCATTAGCAAATTAATATATTCCTTTACAATCTGGATGCTTTTTATTTCATTCTCTTGTCAAAATACTCTAGCTGGAACCTCCAATACAATACTGAAGGGGTGAGAGTAGACGTTTTTCTATTTTTCCTTATCTTAGAGGGAAAAACAGTTAGTCAACATTCAGTATGATGTTAGTTGTGGGGTTTTTCAGTTATAGATAATATCTTTGGACTTTATAAATAATTTCTTAATGAAATTAATTTTCAGTCTTTTTTATGACTGAAAATATAGTTCATAAGCTGATCCATGTAGTAAGTAGTAAAAGATTTATGAAGAGCTACTTTCTGTGTATTCTGTGTATACATCTCACACACTGGAAATTCCCAGAAATAATCTTAAGAATTAAAATTTTTATCTAATGTAAACATTTAGCCATCTAATACTATAAATTTCATTCTGGAGACTGCTTTAGCTGTATCTCTGAATCTTGATGTGCTGTATTTTTATTATTAAGTTCAAAATACTTTCTAATTTCTTCTTTGTGTTCTCATAGCATCCTGTGGCCACTCCACGTATTGTATTATAATTGTCAGCTTCATTCATTCTAAGAATACATACTGAATCTCTCCTAGGTGCCACATACACTGATAGTACTAGTGATACTGTATCAAACAAGGCAGACATGGCCCAGCCCAAGGAATTTTTCTGTTGCACAACCTTCACCACCTACTAGAATGTAAGTCCCAAAAGTATAGACACCATGCCTTAGCCATTATGTCATTCTCAGTGTTTAGCATTGTGCTGGCCCACAGAAGTTGCCTAGTAAATATTTATTGGATAAATGTGTTGTGGGTGAATGTATAGCAGTGGAAATGTGGCATTCATAGAACTGAGATGCTAGTGTGTTAGATGAACTGTTGCTTTGGACACTGAAGTAAACTAAGGCAATGGCAGGTATTAGGGTGGAGAGGCAGACTACAACCCAGTCTTCAGTAAATGAAGAGAAGTGACTGGCTCATGACAAAACCTTAAAAAAGAGGAAATATTTACATTATTGGAAAAGAAAGAGATTATGATAAGAAAGCTGAAATAGAAATTATTAGGAAATATATTAAATATAATTTAGAAATCATAAACCTAAAAATGTTAAATGGTATTATGTGTTTCTGATTTCCCTGGGCTAACATTCTCCTTTCATTGTCCCACATTCCCTTTTTTCTCTGTCCTTATCTTCCTTCCCTTACTTCTCCTCTTTCTCTTACTTTCCTTGTCAAATATTTACTGCTCTTACTTTCTGTCAGACACTGAGGATAACTTCTTTACTTTCCTCAGAAAGATTACACACTGATAGGAAAAAAGGCACATACTTTTTTGTACAACAAAATGAATGGAAGAATTAATGAATGCTCTGAATCCTATGGGAGCACACTCTCTCCTGGGCTTTGATTTTGTTCACCCTCACTTTCCCAGTCATTTTCCTTTGGCCAGGCTGTAACATATTCTCCTTAAGTTGTCGTTGAATCTGTGTAAATCCAGAAAGTTCTCCTATTTTTCCATCTTTACAGTAAATATCTTTTCAACAGGTTGATGATTGTTTATGTGGGAATAAGTCATGACTGGAAGAGTGCATTTGAATGGCTGATGCTATGCATAAAAGTTGGATTGATCTAACATGTCTTTTCTAATGAATATTTACCCCACTGCTGAATGTTAAAATGTGATCAGGCCCACCCAACCAACCCACACAGGGCGGCATAGCCATTTTGGACTTCAACAATCTTTAGTGGAAGGTGAATGAAACTCTGTTCTGATGCAGGTGTAGACCCTAATAACCATCAAGGCTCACACTGAGCAAAAGTCCATCCCAGAAGTTGTCACAGGCAGTAGTTTTATTATAAACCAGAATTTCATGGGGTGGAAAGTCCATGATTTATACT